CAGTTTAAATGTTTTCCATCAGAAAGAGCTTGAATAAAGTCCTGTAGTTTGAACAGCAACAAGTAGGTTAAAATTGAAATCTTGATCCACAGCCACAGTGGTTCCAGCAGTTGTTACTTTTAGCCTCCCCAGTGCCTTTCCCCACCTCCCTCACCTTGGGCTGTGGGACCCCGTCTGCACTGAACTGGTTTCTAAGGAGTGGTTGTAAGAGATGCCAGTTCTTTTGGGTCTTTGCCACTTTGTGATGAATTCCCTCCCTGCCTCAGTCATAAGTTTCCTGGATCTTTGTAACCTTTAAAAACAAACAAACAAACAAAAACTGCTAGAGGAATAAACTTTGGGCCTTGAGGCTACATACTCAATTCACATAAAAATCTCTCTCCCTGCTCTGGGGTATTCTTATATCAGACTTGGCTGCTAATACTGGCCCAGAGCCAATGACAGCTGCCTGGCCAGGGTAATCATTGACTTAAAATAAAGAATCCTCTCTGGCTCTACCTGGGAGAGAATGAAATAATAAATGTTAAACCTGACAAGTTACAGTTGTGGCTCCTGTGGCTAAAAAGATTTGGGGACCTATAGTTTATCTCTTTCTCTGGCCATTTTGGACTGGACATCAAAAAAATGTAAGCACCATCTACCCAAAACACACCCTGTTATGGTTTTCTCATAACATTCATTTATCAAAGGTTATAACTGATTAAAAGTAGGATACATCTTCTTATAATGAAAGGTAATTATAGAATTTGGGGCCCAGAAAGAGCTTGGAGGAAAAAGTAGCGGTGATAGTTTTTGTAGTGGTAGTAATAATACTAGCAGCAGTGGTGGTAGAAGCAATAGCAGCAGCTGCTGACGTAGCAGAAGTGGCATCAGTTTTTAAGAATCTACTAAATCCAGGTGCTGTGCTGGGTGCCTTAAATGTGTTACCTCATTGAATCTGCACAGCAGCACTACAAAGTAAACACATTAGTTCCATCTTATAGGTGACAAACAGATTCAGAGAAGTAACTTGCCTAAGGACAGGCTGTTAGTAAAATTTTTCCCGCCTATCTGAAGATTTATACTTCAGACGAAAGCCAGTTAGATAGCTGAAGTCCAGTATAGTAAGGTCAAGGTCAAAGAGCAGAGTTTTAACTAAATGGATTTTGAATCTCAAGCCCAGCCTCAGGCTATGGTGACCCCATGGTTAACAGTGATGTGTTGGGGGTCCCAAGAAGGAGCAGTGGACATGGGTACCTACTACTTCTGACAAAGAAAACCCATCATTGCGGTCAGTTTAAATTTTTTCAACCAGCATTGAAATAAAGTTGGATTTAACAAAGAATACTTAAGTCAGAACAGATCCAAAGGGTTGTGCAGGCCTGGAACTTTTAGAGGAATTGGGACATCCCCAGAAATCTCTAACTTACTAGAAATTGGGTGGCCATAGCCACTAAGAAAAAACTTACTTGTCTAAGAACTCTGGCCTGAGTTTAACCATACCCTCAAACACCACCTGTGACCCACACTGGGCAGATGAATGGGCACTGGAATCAGCTTTGTAAGAACTCTGAGGCTTTATGAACTCACAATAATATGGATTTGTGGCTAGAATTGGGGATTCTTCTAGTCTAAATAGGCAGTTTCTGCATCTTTACCTTTCAACTCAGCGACATCCTGGAGGCAATTCAGGCTTTGGCCCAGAGTAAGGACACGTCTCGAGAAAATGTCGTGGGTGTCCCCTTCAAGCTGACTCAAATCAAGGGATCAGGACCGGAGGGGAGCCCTTGTTCCTCCAAAGTGACCAGATTTAAGGAAGTTGCTGGTGAAAAACTGCACATTCCAAAGGGATGTGCCACATTTTATCTGCCCGAGAGGGATCTTTTTAAATACTTAGCAAAGTTCACATGGCTGCCTCTCCTGAATTCCAGACCTTTCTTTTGTACAAAGTGCATCCACTGGCAAAAAGGAGCAGTCAGGAATGAACGCTTATACCTTGGACAGGAGTCAGCTATTTCTCAAGTCAGTGCCCTAAAGGGCATCTGCCAGAGATGTCAAGAGTCTTATGATGTTGAGAAAGTGAATAAAACCTCCTTAAACACTTGAGGTTTTAGCTTCACCTAAAATGCCCTTGTCCATCTATCCATACCACTCTCCCTCTACTACCCTTCAAGGCAACATAAATCCCTGGCACATATTAGATTCTCATTAAATGCTTGATGGGTGAGTAGACAGAAGTAGGTGGAGAGACATTTGTCATTTGTTTAGGATGGATGGGTAGATAGTCACCCATCCCAGTTGGTAAACACTTGCCTTCCTCTTAAATATCTCTCTTGCATGTTGTGTGCCTCATGCAGTCCTAGCATTAGAGTAGTTTGCCCTATTTCCCCCAGAACAGTGGTCGGCAAACTGCGGCTCGGTAAACTGAGGCTCGCGAGCCACATGCAGCTCTTTGGCCCCTTGAGTGTGGCTCTTCCACAAAATACCGACTTCTGCGCATGGGCCACAAAGTTTCAATCGCACTGTACATGCGTGCCCGCACGGTGGTATTTTGTGGAAGAGCCACACTCAGGGGGCCAAAGAGCCGCATGTGGCTCGCGAGCCACAGCTTGCTGACCACTGCCCTAAAAGATCATACTCCCCTCAGTCTCCCACAGCCCTTTAATAAGGCAGAGCTGGTGCTCAGCAGATAACAGATTCTGACTGGCCAATTTGGGGACACAGCAGTAACAGCCATTGGGACTAACTGTTTCGGGCCAGGGGCCCTGAAGGAAGAAATGGGTGTCTAACTCCTTTCGTGCTGGTGTGTTTTGGCTACAGTGTCACAGCCACAGCTGCCAGCATCGGAGCTGCGGGTGTACCCCAGGCTGGCCTGGTGACCATGGTGATCGTGCTGAGTGCTGTGGGCCTGCCCACTGAGGATGTCACCCTGATCATCGCTGTCGACTGGTTCCTGTGAGTTGGAATGAAATGCTGCAGAATATGCAGTCTGTCATCATTCTCTCTTCAGATTGCCTAATGAGCCATCTGTTGCTGCTTTCATTTCCCTCTGACCAGGCTATCTGATAATGTGGTTAAAAATTAACTCCTCGTAACTTCAAGCAGTGATTTTAAAAAGCCAATGATCTCTACTAGCTCATTATACCTGGAAATGCTCAAGGTTAAGAGCCTGGCATTGGACAAGATAAACACAAAATAATATAGTGAAGAAGGTAGGCAAGGCCACAGACATTCCAAACCCCATAGGCCACCCTGGCCCATCCCAGCCCTAGGTCAGCAGCATAGGTTCAGACCACCTGGTTCCAAATCAGCCTATCTTCCCAGCTTCAGACCATCAGGGGCAGTGGCACAAGCAAAGGCTTTGCAATAAGACTGACTTGGGTTTGAATCCCTGATCAGTGTCTTACTGGCTTTTGACCTTAAGTTCCTTAACCTCTCTGAGGTCCTGTTGCATTATCTGTAAGATGGAAGAAATTCCATCTATCTCATTGGGTTGGTTGCAGGGGTCCTCAAACTTTTTAAACAGGGGGCCAGTTCACTGTCCCTCAGACCGTTGGAGGGCCGGACTATAGTTTAAAAAAAAACTATGAACAAATTCCTATGCACACTGCACATATCTTATTTTGAAGTAAAAAAACAAATGTTTTCGGCGGGCCGCATGTGGCCCGCGGGCCGTAGTTTGAGGACCCCTTACTAAGGACTGAGTGAGCTAATGTGGGAGAAGTATCTAAAACGGTGTCTGGAAAGCAGTATGTGCTCAATAAAAGGCAAGTCTTAATTGTTATAACTAGAATAAGTTAGACCATTCAAGCCAATAATTCTCTCTCTCTCTCTCTCTCTCTCTCTCTCTCTCTCTCTCTCTCTCTCTGTCTCTCTCTCTCTCTCTCTCTTACACACACACACACACACACACACACACACACGGCTAAGGAACACAGCAGAGCATCTGTGGTATATTCAGGGTAAGGTTAAGAACGTGCCTTTTGTGACCCTGAAGGTTAAAGTTGGAACAAGCCTGATTCCACCTCTATCCTTGGTTAATACCCACGTTGTGCGTTGATCTTCTGGCATCGAGGTCTCTGTCCCCTGGCCATCAGGAGTAAGTGTAGCTCCTTAGTGAGCCTTCACTCAGAGCCAGCCAGGCTTACTGGGGAGTTCAGTGGTATGCAGTTTGCAAGTGGCAGCTGAGAATGAGGAAAGGAAAACATTCCATGTGGGTGTGAAGATACAGTCATGTCCCTAAAGGCAGAGCTCCTGCACAGGGAAGCTGTGCCATGTGGGCTCCCCTTAGTGGCTACTTGGTTCTACAAAGCCCTACTGAGGTGGCACCTTTCTTGCAAAGGTACCCAACCATTGAGGCGAATGCTTCAATTTTTCTAATGGTGTTGGTGGATTTGCACTTCTCTCCTTTCCCTGGTTCTTCCTGGAATTGATGACCTTCACTCTAAGATCCCAGAAAAGTCAAAGGTTTAGTCTGATCCATGGTCCATTCTAGGGTCTAGTTCAACCCATAGCCTTGTTCTGTATAACAGCAGGGCATCCAGAGTGGACATGTGTAAGCACTGTTGGCCTTTTCTGTCCTGCAGGTGTAGTTTTCATAAGAATATTCATAGACATAGTTGCTACCAACAGTGCTCTAGCATCCTCTCACCAGGATGCCTTCTCTTTCTACACAGCTTCCTGCCTTCAGCCTCTTCTCCAGGCTGTCTGGGAGTAAAGACTAGCTGGGGGTGCCTCAAAGAGAAAGACATTCCCAGGCAAACCTGGTTTTCTGACCCTGCGATCTGTGGCATCCCTGCTGGTTTATTCATGGAGTGACTTGGTGTGGTAAAGAAACAAGTACACCAGGGACACACAAACACAAGAACACTTGGACACACACTATGTGCCACCCACAAAACATCCAAGTTCTCTCAGCTTAGCCAAGAGAGCCTAGAAATGTTCACAAAACAGAGGTTAGGGGTGAAAGATTTATGGAATTTTGACTGTCCCAAAATAATCTGTGAATACTAGTCCCATTTCTTTGGGAAGAAAAGAGGGAATTCAGGTAAATTGATGCTGAAGTTTGGGGAGTCATTGTGACTTATTGGGAGCACAGGCCTGGGGGAGCTGGGTTGCTCATTCTGTCCCTTTATGAACCAACTTCTGCTCCAGGCCTGTGAGGAGAGGAGCCTCTCGTCGGCCAGCCATGAGGACAGCACTTTCTGCATTTGCTTAACTTGTAACTCAACACTTCAGGTCCTTTCTTCTCTCCAATGGCCAGGGAAATGAAATCTGGGCCTCCTGTCTGACTCACCCTCTCCCTTCCCCAGGGACCGGTTCAGGACCATGGTGAACGTCCTTGGTGACGCCTTTGGGACGGGCATCGTGGAGAAGCTGTCTAAGAAGGAGCTGGAGCAGATGAGTGTTGCATCTGACGTCAACTTCACGAACCCCTTTGCTGTGGAAACCACAACACTCGATAATGAAGACTCAGACGCCAAGAAGTCCTATGTCAACGGAGGCTTTGCCATCGACAGATCTGACACCGTCTCATTCACCCAGACCTCACAGTTCTAGAGCCCTGGCTTCAGGTGACTGGGAATGATGAAGGACATCTTAGCAAATTCAAACATTAAGGAAAAGAAGAACACTAATGGCCAATTGTACATTTGACCTGATACACAGACCTCCAAATTATTTTCTATATTTGGATTCAGAGCTTTTGCTCTCTATGTTCTGGGACTTGGGGGTGGGGTAAGAGAAAAGGAAATTGATGAAAAAGCAAGCTATATTATCTGGAGTTTTAAAATTCTACAAGAGACGAAGTTTAGAAGTATATAACATAGCAGCTGTTGGAATTAGGTAACAGATGTGAAAGTGCAATTGCTTTCTCACGCACAGACCAGTGTTTGGGGTTTTTAAAAAACTATTCTGTCAGTGACTACAACTTTTTTACTCAGGCTTTCTATGGCATGGATTTCCTTTGACGTCTCACATTTTTTATAGATTTTAATGCATCCAAACCATCCCTCTTCTCTAGTTAATGTGCCAAACTGTCCATTTTGAACTCATCTCCAGCCAATTTCAAAGAAACTGCTTTGAAAGAAAACAGATCAGCACAGTTCTGCAATAACAGTTTTAAGATGAGTGTCAGGTTTGGGGGGAAGGGAAATCCTTTTTTCAATGTACTGTATTGGGACACTGGTAACTATTAACCTAACCCAGTGTTTAGTGTAGAACTATATATACACACACACACACACACACACACACACACACACACGCACACATACATACACATACATACATACGTGCACCTTGAAAGGAACTGTGGGCCACAAGGCTGTGGTGGGCACAGGGGCGGGTCTCGGCCCATCCTCCATGGCTCCGCCTAGCCCCTCCAACCGTGGCCCCCAGTCCCCTCTCCGCAGGCAGCCCCACTCCCGCCGCTGCCGCTCCTATGCGCTGACCGTGCCGGCCCTGCTTGCACACACTGACACCACGGAGTAATTGGGGCTGGTGCCAGGAGCAGGTGTGAGCGGCAGCTGCTGCCCAGATCACCCCTCAGGAGCAGGGAAAGAAGCCCTCAAGGGCAATCGGGGCCAGCAGCTACCCCTCGCACCCACTGATGGCGCCGGTCCCCTGGCACCTGCTGCTGGTGCCAGCCCCAATTGCTGCGTGCTGTCAGTGGGTGTGAGCAGGGCCATCACCAGCAGTGGGTATGAGCACCAGGCAGGACTGCAGCGCACGGGAGCAAAGAATTTTCAATAACCACCAGAGGCTCACCCTGATGATAGCAACCGGCGCTCCGCCTTGGTCTGGTGCCCCTGCTCACCTGCTCCACCATTCTGCCATGGCCGACACCCACCATGTTCTGCGCACGCCCCTGGTGGTCAGCGCACGTCATAGCGAACAGTTGTTCAGTTTTCCTCCGTTTCGTCTATTTGCATATTAGGGTTTTATATATATAGATATGTATATATTATTTTCATATAATTTGCCAGACAGAGATCAGAATGGAACAGTCGATGTGAAATAAAGAGCTCTCCTAATACTTGAATATTAACTATGATTCTAATCCAGACCTACTCTGGGGCTTATCAGAACTCCTCTCTCAGGAGCACTAGACTGAGAAATCATGTTGTTCGATCATTTCTGCCCCAAAGCAGAGATGTGTTATGGTGATATTCTGATGTGGCATAGACATTCGTTACACCTTCTAAATTCTGCTGGGAGGGAATCATATCAGCTCTATGTGAGATTATGTTCAAAGATGTCACTCATATAAGGCTGGATGTGTTTTTATCCAACTGGAAGGCTTCATTCTTCCAAGGTCAGTAATACCTTCTTAAAAATGATAGTACTTTGCCCTTTTGTACCCATCAGGGCCCAAGCAACAGTGGCAAGCTACCAGATAACTTGTATTTCAATATGAATTTGATAGTTTGAAGCCACATTGTCCAGAAAAGAACTATCCCTACCCTGGATTCTTGCGGAGTAACTCCCACAACCTGAGACCTTGGGATCAGTGGTTCAGGAAAACCCTTCACTCGTGTGGCACTTGTCTCTTCCTCCAGAGAGGATTGTTCTAACCGACTAGCAGTCTAGTGATCTTGGCCCTGCTCGTTAAAATCCATCATTTGCCATTCTCCTGCTAATTTATGAAGATAGCTTATTAAAGCCTGTGCTTCAGCTCACATCTTGTAAATAATGCTCAACATGACTTTTGTATTTACACTGAGATCCAAAATACTTGTGCTTCTGCAGTATTGAGTAGCCAATTTAAGCCTGTGCTTTCCTATTTACCTAGTAAGAAACCAGAAATTGTGCCAAAGAGCATGGAGACGTGAATACATGCTCAGTGTTGACCACCTGCACCTGAAGTCTACAGGAGCATGATACTGAATTGTCCAGTAATCATCATAGATATGAACCAGTCATTCAATGTGAGTTTTTAAATGCAAAGAATGGTATCGTTTATAGAAAGTCAATCTAAATATAATGCAGTTGAGTTGGTAATTTATCTTGGGCTGAATGGTTCTACCCCCTTAGCAGGTTTCTCCGATGTGAGGCACCAGAGTTGCAGAGCTGTTCATGAACTGCGGGCCATCCTTATTTTGGAGTCCGTTTGTAACTGACCTCTTAACACACTGTGCTGTTAGTTCATCAAAGAGAACAATGTTCCATTTCAGTCTCAATAAACATTTCCATCATTCTTTCTTCCCCGCCTTTCTCTGTTCTTTTATCTCACTCTGCTAGGTGTGGGAAGGTGGAGACGTGGTCAGTTCATTCAGATTGTAGACAAATTGTCATTTCCAAAACTGTCCGTATAGCCAAGAATGAAAAAGCAGGGCTGAGGGGGAGTAATCTAATTCTTCATGTTAATCAGTGGGGATTAAAAGGTTGAAATTCATTTTCATTTCGAACAGCTTGCCCATACTTGATGACGGAGATGAAAAGGAAAATAGAATTTGGTTAGAAATTACTGTAATGGGGGAAAGTCACCATATTGATGGTGACTTGGTTTCACTGAAGGACTGATCCTGACCTCTGAAATGTTCCTACAAACGACGAATGGTTGTATTCAGAGTGCTCTTTTTTTTTTTTCTAAAATATGTTTTTATTGATTTCAGAGAAGAAGGGAGAGGGAGAGAAATAGAAACATCAATGATGAAAGAGAATCATTGATTGGCTGCCTCCTACACACCCCACACTGGCACGTGCCCTCACTGGGAATCGGAACCGTCACCTCCTGGTTCATAGGTCAATGCTCAACCACTGAGCCCACCAGCTGGACTTCAGAGAGTTCTTTAAAGGAATGGCACAGTCCTGCCTGGAACCTCGGTCATGATGGGGTTCCTCCAGCAGACACACTAGTTAGTGACAGACAATACGGAACGGACAACTCTCTCTGCCCCACTTAGTGTGTGTCTCATAAAAATGCTTATCACTGCCTGGTCAAACTAATTCGGAACAGTCTTCTCTTTTGGCAACGTGGGATAAAATACCCAACAACACAACTCCTTACAGAGAGATCTGTTTGGAAAAGTTAGTGAACCTGGGTAGGGACCCCCATATGATTTTGATCTGCACAAAGTATACTCATGAACAGAGCAAAGGTGTTATTAGCGCTGGAAAATAACTCTTTCCCCACAAAACCTTAGTGAGCCCACTGGGTATAAGGCCTGTTATTTAAACCATAGCATTCTTAGAATAGTATGAAGAAACTGTGTTTGGCTTCTCGTTGGCAGTGGGCCAGCAACAGTGTTGGCTTTGCAGGTGTTTAAGAATCTTCCCTCCTGGTACAGAAAGAAGAAATGGTCATGCAGAGCCTTGGCAGAATTCTAGAAAGTTCTATGCAACAGAATATTCTGTATTCTCTAGCTGCCCAGCAAGGGACCCATGAGTAGGCATGTGGCTGGTCTCTTAACCATTTTGTGACCCTTGCCAGTAATCTAAGGCCTTGGTTTAATCTTCTGTGAAATGGTGATAAATCTTGACCCTTGGGGTTGCTTTAAGTTAAATGAGAAAATGCGTATAATTCATTTAGCAGAAACCCTGTCACATGTTTGATAAATGCTAGTGCCCCCCACACCACACAAAACCCCTACACTCTCACCCCCATTTACATGGGCAACCCATAGAGATGCAACTTTAGTTACTAGTCAGTGTTTTTGAGACCTGTCTCAGTTATTAAAGCAAATAGTGCATCCAACCTAGTGAGACTTATTATATTAACAAATCCCATTCTATGAAGGGGAAACCGGACATTTTGATATAAATAGTGTAAGACTTAGAATATTCTCTCCTGTAAAGTATCACATGGGCACTGAACAAAAAGCATCCACAATTTTTTGGCTGTGGCCTGCGGCAGAGAGGTTTGAGATCAGGTTGTGTGAGGGGGGGCTGTGCATTCACATAGCACTCTTTCTGTTAAGTCCTGAGATTTGTGACGGGAAGTTCACTTCTGCCAGGTCGGCCTGGCTATCTCATGAGACTGTTCTCCCCATGCTGAGACTTGGCCCTGGGCCCCACGTGAGGTTTTTAAAATACCCTCTGTGGTAGGAAATGTGCCTCTCCCCCCTGCAATCTTAACTTTTTAAGTAAAAGCCGTATAATATAAACAAGAAGTAAGCCTTGTTTAATTAGCTTTGGGAACAATACAGATTGATCCACATGGATCGAATTAGATGACTGTACATTAAGTGTATGAAGTTATTGATCATGAATGGAGATGACTGGGGACATTTCTCAGTGGCCCAGGCTAAATAACACCCCAAAAGTCCTAAGAAAGCATTCAGATCCATCTCACAACTGCTGACCGGTCCATTTCTCCTCGCCGGGAAAAACCAGTGCCACGTGTGATCTGGTGGTGGTCCCTCCGGGATCACCGAGACACTTGTCTACAAAGCCTCACTTGGTGTGCCAATTTTAAGATACTCCAAAATTCAGAACAGTTATTCATAAACCCCCAAAGCCAAGATAAAATCAACGCCCCTTTTGTTATTCTGTTGAAGAAAAGGAAAAAGGAAAGCTGTAGCCTCTTCTAGAGAAGTTTGGTTTCCAGAAGTCCTCACCAGCCTGAAGCTAGAAAACTGTCCTCATGAGAGCAGAACCAGGATATTACACAGAGACACTAGAAACTAATATACAGAATCAACCAAACTCCTGAAGAGTAGTGTCTGGATCCCAGCACACACACACCATTTTCAGACCATAGAATCCGGTACCTGCTGTTCTATCAGCAAGATTATGAGGATGTCTCATTCTCATCCCTCACTTCAGGGCATTTGAGGAGTTTTATCACCTGGGTGTTTCAGAGTCAAAGGTCCGGTTGCCAAGGGGGAAAAAATGAGTCATTAGACAGGATCTACTTTATTTTGTCCAGACCCTGTGGAAAGATGCCTTTTCCAAGGTGAGAATAAGATTGATTGAAGTGAATTGAGTAGTCCCAGGAGGGTAGTCACAGAAAAGGCACCACTCCGTCATTGCACAGGTGCTTCCCTCTATGGACGCACCTTCACAAAGTCCTGAAGACATGCACCTGTTAGAGATGACTTGGATCACTAAATGAATGTGACTTTCATTTAGCAGTGGTTCTCAACCTTCCTAATGCCTCGACCCTTTAATACAGTTGCTCATGTTGTGGTGACCCCCAACCATAAAATTATTTTTGTTGCTACTTCATAACTGTAATTTTGCTACTGTTATGAATCGTAATGTAAATATCTGATATGCAGGATGTATTTAGGCGACCCCTGTGAAAGGGTCGTTTGACCCCCAAAGGGGTCGCGACCCACAGGTTGAGAACCGCTGATTTAAGGGGTCCTCGTGTTGTGTTTTCAAAGTCATCAGTTTAGCTTAGCAAGAATAGTAAGAAGCCAGAAAAAAACTTCATCAGAGCTGAGGACTTTGGGGGGAAAAAGGTTCTCCAATATGAATCTGAGGATAATGAAATGTTCGGGTCTTTAGGAAACTGGGTGGGTCTGACAGATGTCAGAGAAAATAACATAACACATTCATAGTTTTGTTATGAATAAAAGCAGCGGTGGTTAGCAACAGAGGGACAGTGGCTGACCCTGCCTCAACACTTGTTTTTGTCTTCCCAGAATGCCAAACTGGCTTTCATTCCCAGGGTTTACCAACTAACCCTCCATTTCTTATTTAGCCAGGCAAGAATGTGTCAGCTTCACAGTAAACACATACAACCTCAAGACTCTGCTCAAGAGGGGCCAGTTAGAAAAATATGTCCTCTGCAGTTAATGAGAAAATTAGCAGGACAAACAGCAAGGCCGTCTCGGGCTGCCAGGATACTGAGTATGCTTTTCAGCAACTACTAAAAAGTTGGCTCCTATACCATTCCAGGCAGACAGCCACTTACCCTACTCTTGGACATCACCTTTCATAGAGATGACACTCTAAGGCAAATAGAGGTCCAATTTCTTTTGTGTGTTTTTTTGTAAATATTCTTTATTGATTTTTAGAGAGTGGGAGAAGGAGAGAGAGAAAGAAACATCAATGTGAGAGCGGCTGCCTCCTTCATGCCCCCTAGAGGGGATCAAGCCTGCAACTCAGGCATGTGCTCTGACTGGAAATCAAACTGCCAACCTTGTGGTGCACGGGATGATGCCCAACCAACCAACCGGCCAGGACAAGGTCCAATTTCTTTTATGGTGTTGACCTAACACCTAACTGCTGCAGGCTCTGAGTAAGGAGTTTTCTCCCTGCCAGGGTGCATACAGGAGAGGATGGGATGTCATGTCTCCCCAGAACTAAAGACAGCAACTACAACATAGAGGAAATGTGTTTTTATTTACTTGACAAATGTTTGATAGCAGTTACTATGTGACAAGCACTGTTCTTAGCACTTAACAAATATTAACTAATTTGATCTCATCAACATCATGAAGCAAGTACCATAAACGAGAAACTGGTACAAAAGGTCAAGTAACTTGCCCCCAAGATCACACAACAAATAGGTGGCACAGCAATTTGGCTCCAGTGTCAACATTCTTTTTTTTTTAAATATATTTTATTGATTTTTTACAGAGAGGAAGGGAGAGGGATAGAGAGTTAGAAACATCGATGAGAGAGAAACATCGATCAGCTGCCTCCTGCACACTCCCCACTGGGGATGTGCCCACAACCAAGGTACATGCCCTCGACCGGAATCGAACCTGGGACCCTTGAGTCCGCAGGCCGACGCTCTATCCACTGAGCCAAACCGGTTAGGGCAACATTCTTTACCAGGCATTGAAAGCTACGGAAGGCCAGGAGTGCTAGAATATTAATTCTAACTCAAGTCTGGGATGGCCTAACATTTTCAAGACAAATAATAATCATTGTTAATATTTGCCAAGTGTTAACGGCATGCCTGGCACTGTACTAAATATTTTACATGCTTAATTTCATGTATTCTTTTCAAAAGTCCTATCTGGCAGGTATGATTACCCTCCATTTTCCAGATGAGGAATCTGTGGCTTGGAGAGATTAGCTCACCCAAGTTTACACAACTGGAACTCAAACCTTATTCCCAAGTCTGTGTTCCTAACCATTAAGATACGGTACTTTGAAATGCCTAAAAATTCCACCAAAAGAAAGCAGGGGTAATCAAAAATCTCCTAACAAAGAAAAATCCAGGTCTGGATGGCCTCACTGGTAAATTCTAGCATTTAAGGAATTAATACCAATCCTTCTGTAACTCTTCCAAAAAATAGAAGA